AGTCATTCTGAAATTGCAACCTCCATTGGGCGAACTGTTCCTGCCAGTGATTACTCGCATTGGTCTGTGAAAGAGGAGATACGAAAATATTAGAGTTTGCTATAGAACGAAAAGTGTTTTCTTTTTTCAAAATCACATCTAACAAGAAAAAAATTGGAATTTACGTACATACTTATATTTTGTAGTAATACCCATCTAATGATTTTATATACAAATAATGTTTTATCTACAACAGGCGTCAAATGAGGGGGGATAGGCGTTTATGCCATACATATACATATAATTAACTTATAAATATGTAGATAAAATATTTAAGACCAGGTATATTCGAAGTATTAAATTGCATAGAGAGCTAAGCTTCTAAGTTTAATACTTCAAAGCACGGCCCAAATGAATAGAAATATTACATTTATACGTATTTATTGAGTAATTCTTTTTCAAGTGGCGAGCAAAAATGGATGAAAAGGATTACTGCGACAATTACTGTTAGGTCTAAACATTTACAGGGTTTTATTTTTACAATTTTTTTTTTATTTTTTATTTTACAATCCTTTACCTTAACGATCCATTCATTGTTATACGACTGCGATTCATCAAAGTCTGCAAAATCGCATTTAAAGCGGAGTTGAAAAGAAGATAAATTAAGTATGTATACTGCGAAAACCATTTTACAACTGCTAAGCTTCTCTAAATATCTAATGTATTAGCAATTAAAGTTATTTTAAATTATTATCTAAATTATTTTTTTCAATTCAAGTAAATATTTACATATGAGCATTTTGTTTAAGAAATTTGTTTCTATATACATACATTCATGAGACAAATCTACAACGAGATCATCTATGTACGATACGGTGGTCCTTAAACGTAGGAGGCAAATTTCTACATCAGATTGCCTAAGCCTCAACACCTACGTCGATACTATTATAGTCCAAGATAATTTGCTCGCGATCGGAGACGGTTAAGGGATGTCGCACAGGCGACAAAATTCAGATTCCTCTATGGAGCCTCAAAAAATTAAAATTAGCTTTTTTTCATATATGTAATACCCAAAATCGATACCATAGTCGAAGATATCACTTACAAATTTTGGTTCCGATTGAAGTCAGCTATGGCGTTCAGCGGTCAAAGTTCAGCTTACCCTATGAAGATGTCTTAACCGACTCCAATCGGAAACAAAATTTATATGTGATATTCTCGACTTTAGTAGTATCGATGTTGGGCATTAGATAAAAAAAAAAAAATATTTTTAATTTTTTGAGTCTCTATAGAGGAATCTGCACTTTGCGCCCCCTGTGCGACACGCCTTAACCGTCTCCAATCAGGAACAAAATTTATATGGGATATCTGTGACCGTGGTACCTATTACCGATTGAGGGGGTGAGGCTGAAAGAAGCCGTTCATTTCGTTTTTATGGACCACCCTAATGTACATATGTAAAATATAAATGATATGGCAAGTTATGAAAGTTTATACGAAAGTTCGCAAGGAAGTGGCGGCTGAATAGCAGACATGATGAGCGAAAGGATCTTGTTTCACTTTTAAGACCCAGCAAAAAAAAAAATGTTGCTATTTACATATGTATATTCAGCTTCAGTAAAACCATTCATTTCATAGAAAGTTATATGGAATTTAGATGAATATGTAGACTAGTAGAGCATCCACGAAGAAAGAAATTGGCTGAACCGCATAAAATTATACGAATATGAAGTAGGCCTTGCCACTCCCAGGTATACAAATTGTGGGTGAAAATAAGAAATAAATATTAAATTGAAAATAAAAATTATCGCGTCTAGACTTCAGACTTTTTTTAATTAATTTGCTGTTTATTTCAAACTAAAGAAATTTTTATACTTATATTACGTTTTCATTTAATATAGTGGTCGAAAAAATATAGCCGCACCATACCAACTATATTGACAAGTTTTGATAGTTTTTTTTTTTGTTATTTAATCTTAGTCTTTTTTTTATAAAAAATATATGCATTCTTTAACAAAAAAAAAAACATATAAATCCATGTTTCAAACTTTTAACGAAAATAAAAAATAAACAAAGTTTCATCAAAAATTCTCCCTTTTTATTCAGAATTCGAAAAAAAAATTATTCGGGATTTTTATAAAATGTTTGGATATACAGTTGTATAGCCCATTCAATTCCAAAGTTTGAAATGGCTAAAAATTACTGTATATTTTTTTGAAATTTAATTTGTCCCATTTTTTCGCATGTAACGAATAAATAAAATCAATTTTTAAATGGAAGAAAACCGTAACATCTTCGACAGGAAAAATTTAATGAGCTAAAAACTGCATACTCAAAAACCTTCTAAGATATCTAATTAAAAATGCCGAAATTTTTAAAAGTGTGCTGATTTTTTTTTAATTGCACAATGTTTGAGACTTGGATTAACACGGTTTTTGTTAAAGAATGAACTGTCATTTTATAAAAAATTAACTAAAAATCAAAATAAATAAATTGTAAAAACATGTCGATATGTGGTGCGGCTATAATTTTTTCGACCACTATATATGTATGTATACTAGTTTGAAATACTATTTTATTGGTACGAAATTATGGTGTGTTTCCACGTGCCCCAAAGTGCATAATTAGTTCATTATTCTCGCTTTCATCTTAACTTACGGTTCTTGATTTCGTCATAGAAAAAACTAAGCAAGAAGAATTGATGACTGATGAAGCAAACAAAAAAAATATTTCAAAACAAATAAATTGAATAATGAAAAGGCTTTTAAAGAAAGCAGTTTAGTTTGTATTTTGAACCTGCCACAGGATCAGTAGAGGATCAAACAAAACAGTAAGGAGCATCGTGGCAGAAATAGTGATTGAAATTGTTATCAAACGTATAAACCGTTATAATTTTATATTGAAATTTGGGTATAGTGGAAACACAATGTTATATAAATTGAACGGAGGTATTTTTTATGATGCCAATTCATATAACCAAATGATATTCAGTATCATTGCGAGTGTCGTGTCAAATACAAGTCAAGTCATGGCTTTGCTTAAAATTTCGACTCGACCAGGAAAATTTGGCAGCACTGAAGTTTTCGTCGCATTTCGTAGTTTGTTTATTTCAGCATGACTGCTTATTTATGAAATGATAAAGTTAAAAAATTAACCATGTATATATGTATATACCCTGCGCGTCATAATTATATGCGCACCGCAAATTGACAAGTTTCAACAATTTATTTTTTTGTTACTTTATTTTACTTATTTCCTTATAAAAATATGCTGCGTTGCTCATAAAACCCTATCGATGATACTATGCGAAAGGCTGAAAGCCTTCATAAACCAACTGATTTTGCTTTATCAAATAAAATCGCAGAAATATGGACGAATTGACCAATGGTGGAAACGCTTTGGAGTCTTTGGAGCTGTAAAAAGAACAATTTTCCAAGATAGATCCTTCGAATCATAGGTGGTTAATGAAAGCAAGACCGCTCACGAACGCAATGGTAGGGCCTGTCAACACTTAATACCAGTTAATTTTTCAAGGAAGAGAGGAAATTGGCGAAGTTTCTTTCGACAAGAAAATGTCAATTTCCTTAGTAAAACTTTTTTTTACTAGTGACTCTTTCATGTACAACAAAGTGATCAAAATTATACTTATGCTAATTGCTTATCGGAGGGCGGCCTGCGCAAGCCGAATTCAAGTTTTTTGCATACATTGGAAATTTTAAATTCGAAATTTGTTGAAGTTAATGGTGATACGCTAACCACAAAGCCAAAATTTTTGCAAAAACGAATTTCATGTGAACAAATATTCCCAAAATTATAAAGTAAAACAAAAATAATTGTTCCCAATTTATTTTTGTTTTGCATGTTAAGTTATGAGAACAATTTATTCACATGGAATTGGCGATTATAAAAGGATTTATTTGAAAAGAGAATTCTTTAGAATTAGATTTTTAAATTGCAAGATTGCATACAAAATAAGAAAATGAAAAAATAACAACATAATGCTCTCGTGTTTTTTATTATAAAATAAAAAGAACAATTTCAATGAAGTCTCCTTTAACATTACATATTTTATGTATTTTTAATAAAAAAAGGTGCGAACCACGTAAGTAAAAAAATTACCAAGCACTGATAATGATGTTTCATTTGATATATTATTTGATTGGTATAAATGTGGGAAAGAAAATACTCCGATTTATTGTTTTAATATTATAAAAATGGTATGGCCGTTGAATGCTCACAATTTATGAAACTTCAAAAAATTGTATTATCCGTCAAAAGTTGTTTATTGAAACTACCTTCTTTTTGTATCATGTGTTGAACCTAGAGAAAACAACAAAAAAGAAAAATGATTTTAGACCCCGTTTGAAATTCGATAAACAAATGACATCTACGATGTTTTTGCACACCCTGTAAACCAGCGCTCCCAAAATCTTTAGGAGTATCGGCAATGTGTTTCGATTTCATGACGAATCTTCGCAGAAAATCAATGAACTAATTGACACGAACTCTCTGTACGGTTTCTTTCAGAAAATTCTGAAAAAAATCTTTAACGTCGCAGCATTAATTTCATTTCTTTACCGATTTTCTTTTGAAATTTCCTTTAAAAAATTCCAAGTGTGCAAGTAAATTTCATTTCAGAAAATCCGGCAAAAATCGAAAAAAATAATATTAATGAATTCTTTATGATTTCTCTAATATTCAGCTAACTCTGAAAGCATGGATTACAGTGCAGCTAAAAAAAAATTATGTATGAATTCGCTTATACGAAGTTCCACTAGCAGAGTAAACTTTTTTGATAAGTTCACAAAATAAATTGTTATGTATATGTACGCAGTTACTTATAGCTCATTATAATCTATCTACGTAGTATATTATTATTCTACAGTCCATTACGGAAGAATGCTTCCAATACCCATAAGTAACTTACTAACAAATTTTTAATTCTCTAATTAATTTGCTAGTACGCATGTATGTATTTCTTTTCAAGCTAACTACACGTTTACCTTTAGTAAACAATTCGGCTTAGCTGTTGCTGGAGTACACGTATAGTTTACAAGCTCATACTGTATTTCATGACCAAAGCATGCATAATTAGCTGCATTTCATCGATTGTCTCGCCAATTTCGTGCAATGCCGGAAAGCCGGCATTTTCATCATCAATCAAAAAGTTGGGATAATGTTTATAGCACATGATGCTGCGTTGATTGTGTGTACGTCGTTCGCAATCGTCCAGCCATTTATACTCTTCATCGGTTTGAAAGACATTTTCAAATAAACGTCTCTCTTCTTCATCAACATCATAATTATTGTCGTCGTTTTCATAGTTATAGTGAATAGTGGCACCGCTCGCTTCTGCCGAATCGGATATGTCTCCATCGATTGATGATTCACCACCAACAACGTGACGCATGTCTTGTTTTTTTTTTTTTGTTCAAGTAATGTTGGTTTAAAAAATTGGCAGAAATCGCCACAAATTGGCAAGCGAGGCCGTTACGGCGGTAGTTATAGATTTATTTATTTATTGTATTTTGTATGTAATAGTGGACATAGTACGTTGGCGGTTACAAAACATACATAGGTAAAGAATGGGAGAAGTTAAGAGTCGTTATTGGAAAGTCTACAATTGCAACGCTTTTTACGTCGTCTATTAGGAAAGTAGTCTAAAATAAATTGGAGAGCATAAGAAAAGAACGTATGTATGTAGTACGTATTTTCTGCCTCCAAATCGATTATGTAAGTAGTTGTGTACAAACATATGTACACACAGTATTGGCCATATCTATAGCACCCCCATTTCAAAGTTACATTGTTCGCCACTTATGTTTAATTATTAATTTTTAAGAATTTTCAATTATAATACAGTTCATTCTCTAAAGGCGCTGGCCTAATGCAGGCTTGCTTTACACGCCTTGCTTACTTTAGTTTGCTTTGATTAACTTTGAAAACTTGTTAGGCCAAATGGCGGCTTGGACCGCTGTCAAAGTAACCAGCCGTGTGGTTTAAAAGTCAAGGTCTGTTCCCTAAACATTAAGAACTATTTCCCAGAAAACTTCAGAAAATTAATACGAAAATTTATGTTATATCTACAGCTCAATCTTTTCAGAGTGAACTTTAAATTAATGCGAATTAATACTTGTATGGTAATAATGATACATACATATGTACAAATGTACTAAAAAAAAATATGGGCCTGTTCGAGGCACGCAATAAAAGCGGCATTACTGCCGTACTGATGAAAATTTGCAACCCTGTTGCAACTGCCCAACTGATAATACGTTGCTATAAATCCACACAGAACGTGATACTTTAATAATTCGCGCAACACTGCGGTTGTGATTGCAGCTCGAACAAGCCCTATAACTCAAATACAGCGACTTACTTGAAGAAAAGGGCTACAAAAAGCTTTTTCATCTCGTGTTAAATTTTCAAATGTTATATATAAATATGGAAAAAACGAACAATTTTATTTAATTTAGAATTTCTTGCATTTTCTGCGTTTTTTTTTAAATTAAGTAAGCAAATTTTTGTTTGAATTTATTTAACAAAACGCTTTCAAAAAAAACATTTGCTGCCATTTGGCCAGCCATCATGCGTTTTAATATGTTCCACGTAATTTTCGAAATTTCTCAAAGCGAAGCAAGCAAAGCAAGTCTGCATTGGGCCAGTACCTTAAAAATACCCATATAAACGCAAGTTTTAAACTTTGTAAAAGAATACAAAAAAAATCAACAAATTTCAAATATTTTTCTCAGAAGTGTTTGAATTTTTTTGAGTTCGCAATTTTATAGCCCATTCAATTTTAGACTGACAATGTTCAAGTTAGCCACTTGAATCTTGCACACTGTTAGACTAAAATTGAAGGGGCTATAAAAATGTGTACTCAAAAAAATTCTAACACTTCTGAGAGAAAAGTTTGAAATTTTGGTGAAATTGTTTTGCTTTTTTTTTTTGTTTTTCTGCAAAGTTTTAAACTTTGGTTTATATGGGGTTTGTTAGAGAATGAACTGTATTTTAATTGACATTTTTTAAAGTAAATGAACACGAGTGGCAAACAATATCACTTTGAAATGAAGGTGCTATTGCGTTGGCCAATACTGTTTGTATTATGCATCTGCACAAGTGCACTTGATTCTACGGTAAAATTAATACTTCCCGCTTAATTTGGGACTTATCGGGATTTATTGCAAATTTTCAGTTTCAACGCAACATTTAAAAATTAAATTTATATTTTATGAATGCTTAATAAATAAAAGCACACAATTTGCAACTGGCTTCGGTTCAAACGCACAAATGGTTACGGATTGAATTTTCATTCATTTTACTGTTCATTGTCTTCTCCCACAATAGAGATTTGAAGCAACAATGCTTGTTGATATACACTATCAAAACTGAGTGGATGGCGATTTTTTACATTAAATTGTTTATGTTATAACCATAACCGTATTAGTAAAAGTTTCAAAACTGAGTGAATGGTAATTTTTTTAAATAATCACAATGTTTTTCAAATTAAAATTTTTTTGATAACTTTCTATAAAAGTATTCTTTATGCTGCTATCATAACCATATTAGTCAAAGTTTCAAACTTATGCCGAATTTGCACTAGGCATTAAAATGACACCATTATTTTATTTTTTAATGCCCAATTTTGTCATTTGTCATTTTTGCCATTTAATGCCTAGTGGAAATCCAGCATTAGTACAAAATTTGGGATAATTCTAAAAATATTTATTAAAAATTCAATATTTTTTATCTGAATTTTTAGAAAATTTTTTGGATATACAGTTATGCTCGTGAAATTTAGGAAAATAAATGCCTGTTTGAGGCCGCTAAAAAGTCGCGTTTATTTTTAATGATTTTCTTCAACGGCATTGTAAACTTTTTTCTTTATAATCAAAAATTAGTTGTGCAAGGAAATGCGGAAGACCGTTCGCAAAAAAAACCTCAGAAAGTCAAAGCCATTTATATAAATTGCACTTGTTATATGGAAAAATCCGCAAAAGACAGGCGGAAAAAAGTTATTAAAAATCAACGCTACTTCTTAGCTGTTTGCAACATACATGCATAACAAATGCATACTAAAATTTCATGTGCTTTAAAACTGCATACCCAAAAACTTTCTAATAATCAGATTAGAAATTTTTACTTTTTTTTTTTTAATTTTGTTTAGTTTGAAATTTTGATTTATAAGGTTTGTTAAATAGCATTAACTATATTTAAAAAGAAAATGTTTAGAAACATCTTGACTTGCAAAATATTGTGAACATTTAAAAAAATTACCATTCACTCACTTTTAAGCGACAGTGTACATACATACATATTCATGATGTAGAAAGCAAAGGTTGAGAAATGTCTTCGCCGCCGAGAATACGCAATCTTGTATTCTATAAATTATACATACATACATAGATACATACATATCTACATTTTAGGTAGTTATTTGACTTGTTGGTTTCTCTTTGTGTTTTTGTATTGAATTATTAGTTGCGAAAAAAAGCATTGCAGTGTTATATTAAATAAAGAAAATTACTTGGAACCAGTTTTATGTGCACTTGTGCAGCTCTCTATGTATATACATATTGAATATATCGAGCCCTAACTTGCCAAGATAACGTAAGCGAAATTTTTTTAATTTTTTTTTTATTTTTATTTTTTTTGTTTTTGTTTTTGATACAGAAATATTCCTAGAGCATCTAGATGCAGTTCAGAATCAAAAAGAAAATTTTGAAAAACATATCGCTACGTTATTTTGGCGGTTAGGTCTCGATATATTGGATACTGCTCGGCGCACAGTGGGAGATTTGAATTTATACTAACATTGGGCCTTGCAAAACAACAATTGGTACATATAAGTCGGAATTTTAATGCTCTTACCCCCTAGGATTGTTCTATACCGGAAAAAACTTAACGTCCCGACTTTATATATATATTATATATTTTAGCGGGACCATTTTCTCAAAATCGGTACTGTCGGCGGGACAGTGGTCACCGTAGCTATGTAGTATATAGTCGGATTTTAAAGAAAATAAATCTACATGTTCAACCTCGATTCACGTGTATGTAAGAACTTTTCGTTTTGAATAGCAAAACCTATTGTTTTTTTTGTAGCCGAAATTCTCTCACTGTGCGCCGAAATAAGTGTGGATGGCGCACGTTTAAGCGTTTTTTTTTTGTAATTTAAAATTGTTATAATTTTATGCATAGAGCAACGGCGATAGCAGTAGGCGTTTTTGTTTTAGCAAAGGCTCAATTGAGAGTTGGGCATTAGCCAACTTACCAAGCGGCATTATAAAGCGAGGTTGCAAGGGAGACGCTGCTGGTCCTGAAAAAGTGTGCAACGATTTAACACAAAAGCATAAAAATAGTATTTTTTTTTTGGGAATTTGAAAATGTTTTAGCATGAGAAAAGCACTTTTTAACTATTTATCGTCTTTATCAATGCGAAAGATCCCATATGTAAATTTTTCGGAGATACATTTTGCCTTTTGCCTTAACGGTGACGATATGTAAATATGCGCATAAACATGTACATTTGTATGTATTTAGCATTACTATATGCATTGTATGAAAACGTGTCACATTTTTATACATCTCCAACAAATGATAGAATATTATGCCATACGCCGATAAGATAATAAATTACCAGCAGAATGAAAAAAGCACTGATTAGACAAAAGATGAAAAAGCAACAAGAAGAGCGGCAACATTTAAATGGTGTGACTTAATTACATTTACTTGCCTAGAGTTGCGCGCTCTGAGTAATACTGCTAATCGAGAAATGAATGGGTTTGGGGGTATTTGTGACATTTACCTGCATTCAAATCGTTTACTAGATTCGAAAGTGCGGATGTTATATTATCAGCAGCATCATTTATCTCAGCCATTGGATTAGGCATGAAGGCTA